AAACGTGTACATCCAACCCGAGGTCCTCGTCATGAGAGGTGGTAACAGGACAAAGTAGGGGATTGCTAGGTGTGGGTTAAGTATGGTGTGGCCTCGTGGCACGGGACCGCTACGGTAGCCATGAAGGCCACCCTGGGTCACCCCGAAACGTCCTGCCCGACGGGGCTCTGGTGAAGTTGCGACAGGCCTAGCAAGACGGCAATGGATTTATTATCGCTACAGAAAATACAATGAGATATAAACGGACTGATCAAACGGTATCTGACCATGGCAATGTTAAGGGACTACGAGACAGAAAAGCGAAATACAAGATTGCAACACTAAACACCGCTGGCCTGGGAAATAAAACAGAAGAGATTATTGAAATGATGGAAAAAAGGAAAATCAAGTTAATGGGGCTAGCTGACATAAGACACAAGGGAAAAAGTAACAAGAAAATACACAGAGGCTACTTACTAACATATGCAGGAGGAGGAACATCGAAGAATGGAGTGGGTTTCCTGGTGCATCCGGATATATCTAACTACATATTAGACATACATTATCACTCAGATAGAATTATTACTTTGTAAATTAAAAGAGGAGAACAAGCTGAAACATATATACAGATATATGTACCATGCAATGATAATTATACAGAAGAGCAGAAAGATGAATTCTTTGACAATCTGTCTGATGTGATAGAGAAAGTTGAGGGAAGCAGCATACTATATGTAATGGGTCACTTCAACGGGAGGGAAATAACAGAAGAGAATACAAACAGTTTTTAGGTCCACTTGCAGCTAAGAACAGTGCTAGAAATTGAAATGGTCAAAGAATATTGGATCTATGCAGCCAGCACAATCTTTTTATTATGAACACATTCTTTGACCATAGAGATTCACAACTTTACACTTGGTACAAATGGAATGATGTCTCCATCAAGAGCCAGATTGACTTTATACTTACCAGAGTTCAAAGAAGAAGGAGAATTCTTGATTCAAGTGCAATCCCTAATGGTCTATGTGACACTGACCATAAAATAGTTGTGTTAACAGCAAAACATCTCACATTAAAGAAACACAGAAAGAAATTAACCAAAAACAAGGATCTCATCAAGATAGCAAATCTGAAACAGGAAGGAGTAAAAGAACAGTTACAACAGAAAGTAGAGACAGCATTCAAACAACTTCCACATGTAGTTGGCAATATTGAGGAAGAATGGAGTAAATATAAAAACACTATGCTTAGTATTGCAGAAGAATTATGTGGAAAACGGAAGAGTGGAAACAGACGGGGAAATAACAAATATTCACCTTGGTGGTGTGAAGAAGTAAAAGAAGCAATTAAAAAGAAAAAGGAATTATATCAACAGTGGATAAAATCAAAGAAAGAAGAAGATTATGTAAACTATAGACTGCAAAGGAGAGAAACCAACAGGAGTGTCAAGAAAGCAAAACAAGCATCCTGGGAACGTTTCGGTGAGTCATTAGCAGAAAATGAGAAAACAGCCAGCAGAAAATGTTTCAAAGTAGTTAAAAATATGCGGAAAAGAGATGAGAGCTACAACCCCACTGAAATAATTAATTATAAGACTGGAAGGCCATTGATAAATCCACCCGAGATAGCAGAAAGATGGAGGGAATACTTCAATGAGCTCTTTAATCCTCTAGGAGATCATCAGGAAAGAACAACTGAAGAGCACAGAGCAACAGTGTTAGAACCACACATACTAATGGATGAAATAGAAAAAGTCATTAAGCAGTCTCCCAAATATAAAGCACCAGGAGCTGATAGATTACCAACAGAAATAATTCAAACAGCAGGTGAAAGCAGCATCAGATGGCTTCACAGAATATTTAATGCAGCATGGGTACAACAAACTGCCCCTATTGATTGGCAACATGCAATAGTTATACCAATGTGGAAGAACAAAGGAAGCAAAAGAGAATGCAGTCAATACCGAGGCATCTTTCTTTTAAGCCATGTTGGCAAAATGTATGCCAAGATAATAGAAACAAGACTGAGACCAGTGATAGAACCACAGCTGGAAGAAGAACAGATGGGATTTAGGAGAAATAGAAGCTGCACAGATGCAATCCTTCACACTTAAACAGTTAATAGAAAAGAACATTGAATACAATAAGAACTTATTCGTAGACCAGGAGAAGGCATTTGACAGAGTCGACAGACAATTATTATGGAAAGTAATGGCAAGATATGGAGTAAGCGAACACCTCATCGAAGTGTGCAAAAGTTTATACAGGGATTGTAGAAGTTTAGTTAGAATAAATCAGGGAACATCTCATCCATTCACAGTAACATCTGGAGTAAGACAGGGGTGTGTCTTATCACCACTGATGTTTATCACCTACATCGGCGGTATATGCAAGAATGCCAAGCCCATGAATGAAAATGTTAGTAAGATCAACGAATTACTCTTTGCTGATGACCAGGCCTTGATAGCAGATACAGTTATGAAACATCTAACATCCATGAATGAAGAATGTAAAACAAATAATATGAGAATCAACACTGAAAAGACAGAAGTAATGTCAATAGGAAAAAAAAGAAGACAGATCTAAATATAGCAATAGAGGGCAAAGGCATTAAACAGGCATCTGAGTTTAAATATCTGGGAACTACATTTACCGAAGATGAAAAATTGGATAAAGAAATTAACATTAGATGCAGTAAAGCAAACCAAGTATTGGGACAGCTAGCCCCCTCTCACAGCATAAGACAATCCCAATCAGCACAAAGAGACATCTAATTCAAAGCATATTTATTCCAACTCTGTGCTACCAGTGCCAGACATGGTCACTCACAACAAACCATAAAAGAAAATTAGTAACCACGGAAATGAGATGTCTGAGAAGGGCTGTAGGAGTGACCATGAGAGATAGGATCAGGAATGAGATCATAAGAGAAAAAGTCGGCACAGAACCAATTCTGAATTACATACGAAGACAGCAAGTGAAATGGTTTGCCCACTTAGAGAGAATGCCTTGTGACACCATACCATACAAAGCATACATGGAAAGAGAAGAAGGAGGTAGAGAACGAGGTAGACCAAGAACAAGATGGAAGGATAAAATCAGAGAAACTCTACAACAGCCCGATGTGCCTATGGTCGAGGCAGCCAGAAGAGCTAGAAACAGAACCTTATATCTCCCTCGACATTCACAGCGGTAAAAGAGGAAGTGAAGAAGAAGAAGAAGAAGAAGACAAAGAAGAACGTCTACATGGACAGATAATAGCTAGTGCTACTTATTGACCACACATTGTTCCTCCCTTACATTGCCTTACGATAACTTCAAAATTAGAAGTTGGTGGATGATGATTTATATACAGTATATGCTGACCTAAAGACTAGGTACTTCAGTCAGTTTTTCTGAATTACTTTTAAATAATGCAACTAGCATAGTTGGATTCAGTTAGGAGAATGAAGACCAACAGTGCCTCATTCGAGCCTCTGCATGAATTCTAAGCAGAAAAAGAGTGGTACTTCTGTATAAATCTGCTCTGGTATACTTACAATTTGGTATACATCCTGTTTAAATACGAAAAATATTACTTGGTATACCACTTTTGTTTGGAATATCTCACACATGCTAGAACTTTTATAAGTCAAAATAAGTCACTACACATATTTACGTCTCTCTTTCATTAATCAAGGAACTGTTTACCAAATTGATGGATGTCAAAAACTTGGCAAGGAAGTACCACTCCAACAGAGTGCAAACAAGCCATTATACATTGTATAGAATGACCAGACAATGTCACATTTCTAAAACATCCTGAGGTGAAGGCAGAAGTAAAGTTTTTTTAAACAGATTTTTAATTAAAGTTAAACATAGTGAGCCTCAGCGAGGTCCAGATAGGGAAAAGGGACCCCCACCCCCCAAAAAAATTCAAATTCTTAAAGTTTTTTTTTATTTGGAAAGGGAGCTCTCCTTCAAAACAATAGCTCCTCTTCACTTTTCAGCACCGTCCCAATAGGGCCTCAACTCTGTGCAGCAAGGTAAAGGGAGGTTCAGTTTTCATTTGTTTCATCTATTTGCTGTTATAATGATGTATTTTAGTATTAAGCAGTATTTGAATTATTTTATACAGCCCCATCAATGTATAATATGCCAATAACACTGTTGTTTTTCATGCGAATAGATTAATCATTCTCCCGGGTAGCTTGTGTGTTTTAGATATTTTTTCCAACTCTACGCTGGCTGCTAAAGATAGGGATGGAGTGCTTATGGGAATGTCCCAAGTGCCATGACATCATGTCTAAGCTCTACTCGTTTCTGGCATATGTGGGGAGATTTTTGAAATGACTGAGGAAATAAGTCATTTGCTTAGGCTTTCAAAAAAAGTAACTCGATGAACACTAAATATCCCAATTATAACCCTGAGGGCAAAACAGTGTATTTTGTAAAAGATTACTACTGTATTGAGTCAGATTTTTTTTCAGAATTGACCTTGGCTGCCAGATTGACTGACCCAGCCTATAATTAGTACCAGGTAATATCCTGGGAAGTCAAGGTGGCTGGTGAGAGCTTGACCTCATCACCTCTGGTTTAAAAGAGGTCATAACATTTACTTACTTACAGCTGCTGATGTGTGAGATTAGTTTCATAACTCAAACTCCTCAGCCAGTTAATTTTCATGGGAAGTCAGGGTGGCCTGTGTGAAGTTGACGACATCACCCCTGGTTTAAAAGAGGTGATATAATTTACTTACAGCTGGTGTGTGTGTGATAAGTGTCATAACTCAAACAGTTAATTTTCATGGGAAGTCAGGGTGGCCTGTGTGAAGACGACATCACCCCTGGTTTAAAAGAGGTGATATAATTTACTTACAGCTGGTGTGTGTGTGAGATAAGTGTCATAACTCTAACTTCTCAGCCAATTAATTCTCAAGCCAAGTGAATATTTATTCATTTCATGTGTGTTTCATTTGTGGATGCATTAATAATTAACCTTAATTTTATTTAACCTTTCTCTACCTTTACAGCGGAATATAAAATGGCTGGCAACAAAGCATCTCATGATTCCGATTACCTGGATTTTAGTAAATTGGAGAAAGAAGTTCAGAATGCAGTTGTGAGTGAAGAGAAATATTGGCAGGAGAATGAGGCAAAGATCCGAGCTGTAGAACAAAGAGTGCCCACATATGATGACTTCAGGTCAGTCTTTATTGATGCTTCTTCTTCTTCGCATTCACCGGCAATAAACTCTGGCGGATAGTTCTGGTTGTATGTGAGAAACACCATTTTGTCTGTGGGAGTCTTGCAGCTTGTTTATATACTGTGCTGTCATCAGTAGAGCTGAGAGCTCTGCTTTGTAGTTAGAGCAAGTTCATCCAGTGGGAGCTTTCAGGGACAAACACAGTAGTGGCATCTCAGTGTTTAATGTAAACACCTGCTCCTGCATTCATAGTTGCCACTTTTGCTGATCCATCTGTGTAGATTCTCGTCTAACTGTCCCATAGGAGCATGTTGTGTTCCATTGTAATTGCATTCTTCACTAAATTAGGCTCAGCATCTTTTTTTCCCATGTTCGGAATGGAAGTGGAAACATTGAGTGTCAATAATTCTATGTCCCAAAGATCAGGTGCAGATTGCTGGTTTAGTAGTAAAGAGTGTAACTCTCCTAATTCTTTTGTAGATGGTTTAGGCTTATGTGCTTTTTTCTGGGTTTTTTTGTGTGTGTCGTGGCCGCTAGATTTGCATGCAGTGGGTAGTTTGGCATTTTCTCCATTTTTTCAACATGTAGAATTGCTTTCATACTTTTTTTTCTCCAAGGGGTTGACGTTGGCTGCCTTTTCCATTTCCACAATAGGTGTAGATTTTCTGGCTCCCAGAATTGCATGCAGAAATCAATTTTGCATTTTGTCCCACACAATTTATTGGAATGGGCTGCTGTTATCCATGACAAGGATGTATATTCCTGAGTTGGTCTGACTGTGCCAGTGTATACCTGTTTCATGATGCTTCTATCCACTCCCCAAGTGGTGCCTGCCAGTTTCTTCATCACACCACATCAGATGACTGTCAAGCTTGACTCCCAAGAAGGTTGGAGTGTAAGAGCGTGGAATAGCATTATTGTTGAGTTTGAATTTTAGTGTGAACTTTTTAATCTGAGATTATGCACTCCATCCAGTTTAATGGCTGCTTACCGTGGGATAGGAAATTTTGTTTCGAGTAGTACCCAAAGCCATCCAGAGCTTTAGCAACAAGCCATCCAGAGCTTTAGCAACAAGCCATCTAGAGTTTTAAACAAGCCATCCTTTCATACTTTGTCAAAGGCCTTGGAAATATATATTAAAAAAAAGAAATAGGGATAAAGATCCTATTATCATTTACTGTTTTGCTGGAAGGGAGACATTTGGGCATCTAAGCCGTGGGGCTAATTAGCAGGTGACAGCATTTTCGTTCTGTACTCTAGCTTTTATCTATCGAGTCTGCCATGCTCCATAAATATGCTTCCTAGATATTTGAATTTTCATACATGTATGTTTCACAAATATAATTTCAATGTATTTTTTAGAGAAATGGTTCTGGCTGCCCACCTGAAACCCTTGGACAAGAAAGATAAGTTAAGCAGCATTGAGAAATTCACCCAAGTCTGGAATCCATCTGCTCAGAAGTTTCCTAAATCTTCTCAGACAAAAGAGCAAATGATTAGGACTGTTCTGGGGGAGGAGTTATCTGAGCAAAACAAATCAGAGGAGGTAACTAGATTCAATCAATTATGTGCTATTTCCACAAACAAGGTTGGCTGCAAAGGATCTCCAACATGATCTGCCTCTCATCATGGGTGTACCTTTACTGAAGCTGCTGTTTGCTGCCCATATGGCTTAATATTACCCCCTTCCCCAACCTTTTCCACACACACACACACACACACACACTTGTATCACTGTCTACCTATTGCTTGGCTGCCTTAATTTTCCCTCCTGTATGGATTTTATAAAGAGTGTTATGTGTTATATTATTTATGTGACATTATTATTTTTCATTTCCTTCTGCAACTCTTGTATCATTCCCATTCTCTTCAAAACCTGTGTATTTGATTGTTTTTGTTTCCTTGATATACACATATTCTTAAGTATATCCACACATCCAGTAGCTAGTTTCTTCTGCTTGTCTAACCCCCAGTGGAGCATAGGCCCTCAAACAATTCACTCTAGGCTGTTCTATCCTTCGCTATTGCATGTTATTCCCATATTTGTAACTTGACTCTCTAGCCCCCTTTTCTGTGTGTTTTTTGTTCTTTATTTCTGTGCCCCTGTGGGTTCCAGTGCAAAGACAGTCCAGTTATATTGTTCTCAGGTTTCTCAGTGAGTCTCCTATCCAATGCCAGCGACTTTTCTTCACCTCTTGGTCCACTGGAACTTGTTTATTCTCTTCCAAAGCTCTACATTAGTGATTGTATCAAACCATTTAATTCTGTCTATTCTGCGCAAGCACCAGTTAATAAATGTTTTTATTTTTGTAGTATATTAGTAACTGATTCAGTTGCTCTCCATGTTTCCACTCAATACAACAGTACTGATGTGACATTAGAAAATTTTCTAGTTTAAAATTAGTTTTAAACACGACATTCACCATCATCTTGCTAACTGATGTAGTGATCATATGTCTTCACATCTCATGATCTCCCACAAAGTATGTGTGTAATGCCATTTTGAAAGAAATATCTGAGGAAAAATGGGATGAATTCTAAGGGAATTAAGAAATAAGAGAAATTGCTATGCAACCAGTGGTATAGACAGTTATAAGACAGAAAAGATGGTGCTACATTGGTCACATCCTGAGAAAAAACTAGCAAAGAATCACCAACCAGGCATTAAAATGTGAGATAAATGAATTAAGGAGGTGAGGACCCCGAAAAGAAACCCTAAGACGGATGTTGATAAGAGAGACCAGAGCAGCTGGACTGGATTCCATCCATGGTATTGAACTGATAGAACGGAATGGAGGAATAGACTTCAAGACTTATGTGACATATAATGGTGCAACAGGGTAATTCTATCACTTTTTCCTCATTCGGTGGTTCCAGATTTGCACTTGTCATGATCTGGCTGCAAAGTATGATTACCTCTTTTCAAATTTGTGATAGCCTGCCTGTCTCTTTCAAAACATTTAGATTACTTATGTTAGGAATAACCCCATGTCCACATAGCCTGCCTGTCTCTTTCAAAACATTCAGATTACATATTCAAGGGATAACAATATGTCCACTATGTCGCTACAATTAGCCATGAACCTGTTGCAGTAAAAGCAGTCGTCTTTCCTTACAACATTGTGTAAATGTTTGTCTTCATCCTCAGTTCCTCTTTAACCGCTTCAGGTGTCAATGTGGTACGAGGTCTCATTGTATTCTCTTTCATTCATTCATTCAGTAGCATGTCCCTCGCGGAACCTCGCTGCCATAACAACCCTCCGGAAAAACCTTCCTATCCTGAGCAAGATGTCCTGCGTCTGATACACCCATCTGGAGATCATCTAGATCCTGCACCCATCTTCTCCTTGGCCTTCCTCTTCCTCTCTTCCCAGGCATATACCCCTCCATTATTGTTCTCTCTAGACTTTCATGACGTTTCAAGTTCAAAATATTTAGATTTCTTTGTTTTAGGTCTTTACTAGCCAACCATCTTCCATATTCAGCTCTTGAAGTATGGATGCATTTGTTCTTTCTTTCATGATTGTTATGGATTCTTGGCAAAATTTGCAGAAGGTAGTTTGCCGTTGCATTCCTCCTGAGCAGTGACTATACTGGTCGGTGGCCATAGCCATTGTCTCTACTGATGAGATCATCTGCCTATCGCCGCAGAGTGCAGACCATAACCAACAATACCTGTCGGCTGCTCTTACACTCCATCCACCACCTGCTTCCATGGCTTCACGTAACCCTGATTGGGGGGCTAAACGGTATTCTCTTTAGCAATAATAAATCCATTGTCAGCTTGCTAGGCCTGTCACAACTTTAGCAGAGAGCCCTGTTGGCCAGGACATTCTGGGTCGCCCTTCATTCACTGCAGCAGGTTGTATCCCAGCTGGCTTGGTCTGTCTCCACAAAGTGGATCAGGTTCTTTATTAAAATCTGACCCCAGATGATGTCACAGGACAGTCCAACATTTTAGAGAGTGGTAAGACTGGGTTTCCTTGCTTTCTGATGCTTTTAACGACCCCAAAACATCTAGAACTGGCCCCAACCTCAACCCACCTAAGTCCTCATGAGAGAGTGCAGCCTAGGTCCTATGAATGCATTCAGCCTAGATCCCACGACTGCGTGCAGCCTATCTACCACTCTCTGAAATATTAGACTGTTCCGTGACCTGTGGATTTCCCCTGTTTGGGGTAGCATATTAATAAAGCACCATGGATCATTATCTGCAGCAGTTGTCCTCTTTTTTTCCTTCTTCTTAGAGGAACAAAAAAGAATAGACTCACTGTCTCCCTAACATGTATGTCATAAATAAGGAGTGTTTTCTTCAGAGTACGTCTGCCTGAGAGGTGAGGAACCAGCAGTCTGCATACAAATAAGCCAGATTAGTAAACCAGATGTGCATGCAAAACTCTAGTTCTGGATGTGGATGAACAACCAGAACTTTATGCCAGAGTTTACTGTCGGTGAATACTAAGAAGAAGAAAAGAAAAGGTAGAGAAATTTGTACTATATAAAGACTAACTAACGAACATACGATGAGTTACCTTGCATACAAAATGTTAACAGAGTGTCCAGAGGTGGCAGTGACATGGTGCATCAAGGCACCAGCTAAGTCATTAATAAAAACTAATATCCAAGAAAGGTGGCTGGATACTCAAATCAGAAATATCTCCCCTGTCTAGAGAGGAACAGTGTATCATATTTAGACCAAGGACATGGCACAACAAACTTCTGCCAGCAAACGTTCAAGTTTTTGGACGTAGGAAACACAGAGTTTTGTCACTGCAACCTGGCACTTGAAAATGCTGAGCACGTATTCCAGCACTGCAGATGTATGCTGCTGACAGAGAAGCCACCTGGCCATTTCCAACCTCAGATCAAAACAAAGCTGTATGGTTTACAGCTAGTCTCTGAGCCTGAGTATTGAAAAAAAACAAATGAATGACCAAGGATTTGAATCTGTGTTTCTCACATGAGAGCTCAGCTATCTTAGCCATTCAACCAGTTACTCCTCTTTAGTAACACATTTTCTACATTTTCAGAAATATGTTTTGAATTCACCGCTTCAGGAAAAGATTATTCTACACTGGAGACATTGCCGTTGTCTTGTCTTATTTCTGTTTTATAGCATAGTTTAAAACCTTTAGAGTTATACATTTACCATATTTTAATACAAAATGTCCTATATTTTCTAGAATATTACCCAGCCTCCTGGTTCTGGAAAGGAATTGATCCTATCCTGTTTTCTTCTCCTGCAGTGAATCCACAACTTATTACCTATAAATCTGAATTTAAAAATCCTAATTTTACACCCAGAATGTTTCAACATTGCCATGATTAGGTTCAATTCCTATATTTTCAGAAATCTGTTACAAAACTCCCTGGTTCTGAAAAAGAGTTTATCCTACACTGGAGACATCATTGCAAAGCTCAGGAAGATAAAAAGCAATTTCTCTTTGCTGTTGGTGCACACAAATTAGCAGAAATATTCAGGGTTGAAATTGCTGGAGATTTATTGGGAGAGTTCCTTGAATGTCTGCATTGTTTTGAGGTCGGTGAAGCAGGACAAGTAATAGAGATTCTAGAGACGTTAACAAAATCTCAACGGTTTTCTATCTCATTGGCATTTCTCAGCAAGAAAGAGAAAGAGTCAGGTAGGCTTCTGTTTGAAGAGCTGAAGGCTTGTCCTTCTGTGAGTGATTTCCCTTTGTTGGTGGACAAATTGGCAAGTTTAGAAAGTGTTTACAATAAGCACTGGTAAAACTAGTCCATCATTTTTTTTTAAAAACTAGTGAATGTTTAGTTTTAGCTAAAAATTTCAAAGAACATGTGACCGCTGTTTAATGTGGGTGTTTGGTAAGTAGGAACTTCAAGAGAAGTAATATGTGTTCTGGCTGCCTGTGTGAAACCCCAGGGATAGAAAAATGGTTCTTTAAAAAAACAAAAACAGTCAATAATTGTAACAAAACTGGAAACATTCTACTTCATTCTGACTTAAATTGTTCTAATAAAAGATGTGATTTATTTCAGGTTCTTGTTTTTCTCATTTGGTTAAGTATTTATATTCCACTGTCTTACATGCGACCAGAAGCCAAGGCATCCAACTTCAGCTAGCATCTGTAATGCCCAAATCTCCAGCCATATTTAACCCGTTCGCTTCGTAAAATCTTAAAAATTTACCTTTGTCAAAACTGTTTAAAAAAACAAAATAAATAAACGCACTGTTATATTTCACTGAAACTGAAACCAAAGAAACTAAAGGAAGAGAAGAAGAAGCAGACAGAATCTGGAGTCTTGGTCAGCTTTGATAAAAATCCAGGAGTTTCAGATCTATGCTCGTCTAGCAGCTAGCAGACAAGCAAGCCAGCTAGCTATTGTTCTTGGTGATTGCAAACACAATTACAATCATTAAAATTATCTACATGTTTTATTTTTTAAATAATTGTGCACACTAAAATTATAGGGAGCTGCCATTGTGTAGTGGCTAAATGCTTACCTGTGGATCGGAAGGTTGTGGGTTCAAATCCGCATGATGCCAGATTTTTCCCCCTCAGACATGACCTTGGTTCCCTGGTTGACCCGACCTCAAGTGGGTACCAAGTGAAGTCCTAGGAATTAAATGCTGCCAGAATGATACTGATCACACCACCCATCAAGGGCCGATTGGTCTCTAAAAATAGCCTCATATGCCCGATGGGCCACTGGCGTGTAAAAGGACCTTTACTGATACTACAAACATACAATACCTATGAAACTTATTTAAAGATACGTTCCTGTCCACAAATAAAATTTCACCCATGTAGTAAGAACAGATAACAGAAAGGCAAAAATTGTACATAAAAAAAAGTTAAGTAAAACGGAGTAAACTCAAAGCGGACCAATAAGATGAATGATAATATCCAAGCAGACCTACAAACACTTGGAGTTGCCAACTAGAATGAGAAGGGCAATCACAGAGATGAATGGATGTGTGTTTGTGTGTGATGTCTGCAGCAGTGAACCTCAAGGGCTTGGAATGCTGAAGAAGAATAAAGCCTTAACTTTAAGAAGAATCTCAGATGATAGCATACATTATTTTCTTCTTCTTCTTTGTGTTCACCATCTATAAACTCAGGCAGAAAGTTCTGAATGTTCATCTACCTTCGAACTTTAATCTTGTTCCAGAACCTGAGTGTTCCATGCACATCGATTTTACAGATCCTTGCCTCTCAGGCAGACGCATTCAGATTCAAAGGAAGCCCCAAATTTGTAGATTCTTATGACATGCTTGTTGGCTGGGCAGTAGGTCTATACCACCCCCCCCCCCCCCCCCACCACAGTGCAGCCTCAGACCTCACAATGAGAGTTTTTTTTTAATTTAAATAATATATACCTGTCTGTCACAAATGCACACACATACATATATTAATAACTGAAAGTTCTGGCTTGGTTTTGTTTCAAAGAATATATAATTACAACACATATACTTAGTACATAACCAGTGTCATGATCAGGTTAGGGGGTGGCGACTGGGTGAGTGTGGGACTGCCAGCAGAGCACTAAACATGTGATTGTCATTGTGTGCACACAAGCCACAGAGGCCATGTGAACTGTCTGAAGTGGACGAAGTGAGCTTGGGTTGTGAACGGACTGAGGACAGTGGTTTACCAGACGTCCTAGCAGACGGTCTGGACAACTGCAGTGTGGCCATACCACCTGAGTTTAGAGTAGTGGTGTTAGTTACAGTTAATAGTGACAGTTAAGCTAGTATTAGTGAGAACATTTACGTAAGCGCATTAACTGTGATGAGTATAACAGAACGAGGTGATGCTGAAAGAACTATGTCACTGTTTGTTATTCTTTACAACTTGAATGTGTCCTGAGATAACCTATTGTTATGGAATCTGTGATGAAGAGAGTCTGATAAGTCACAACAGAATATTATACCTTCCCCCCCAGTAGTGCAGATCATCATACCATCACATCATAATGAGAGGTGAAGGCAAGATCAGAGGATGAGAGAAACGCCTAAGTAGCTGCCAGATATGAGAAAGTATGTTAGAGCAGCTGGAACGACCTTGTTGTATACACATTCTCTGACCTTGTACCCGCCTCTCCACCCCTGACAGCACACACATATTTACAACTGAAAGTTCTGGCTTGGTTGTGTTTCAAAGTATGTATAATTACAGCACATATGTACAGTACATAACCATTTAATTCTATATGAAAACACACTTGATGTAAATAACATGCCACTAATGTAAGTATAATTACAAATATTATTTACAATGAAACATTATGCTTTTATTTTGTAGAATTAACCATTTTGCCCAGGTTATGCTAAAATAAATGGGTCAGACCTCATGGGAATTTTTTAAAAACATTAATTTTACACAGATCACTAATAAATTATTTACAATTTTATTTAGGTACATTTTGTTGCCCCCCCCCCCCCCCCCCCCCCCCCCAAAGTTAAATATATAAGTAAGGACATTTAAAGGAAGTGATCAATGAACATGAACATAGTGAAGCATTAACGCAATACATTGCCGAGGGCCTTAAAATATATATCAGAAGACTCATGTCGTGACCTAATGATATATATCATCTATTATTACTGAAGCTTTTAGGGAAATCTTCAATTAAACTGACTTTAAAAAAACCATACCCCACAAGATATCTTTCTTTCCTCAATCCATCTGATTCCCATTTCACTGCCTGTCTGGTGATTCTCTGTTCAATCTATTCTTAGAATGTGTCATATATATACATATATATATATATATACTCCGATATTATATATATATATATATATATATATATATATATATATATATATATATATATATATATATTATATACTATATATATATATACATATATATCCACTATATATATATATATATATATATATATATACATATATATATATATAGTGTCATCTTCGGTCTAATAACTGTTATCACCAGCAGTTTTCCATGCGTTTATTTCTCCTTTTTTTTCTTCACCCCTCTTGAATTCATCCCATTTTATGTTTATAATTTTCCTCAGGCATTAGTTTTTCAATCTATTTAACTTTTGTTCCATACCTTTAGTGGTTCTTCAATTTTCACTGACATACTTGTTAAAATTAATTGACATTAGAACTCAAAATATGTAACATAGTTTTAAAACTATATAACACAATTATTTATGCATTCTACAAATAATGAATGTTTTACAGTTGCAAATTTAAATAATTTTCCGTGTGTAAATAAAATACACATATATAATTGTATTCTACAAATGTACTCTATAAATTTAAAAAAAAAAAAAACCTGAACCCTAATATAATGCAGTCCATCAGAATACACATCTGCTTATAATTCAAAGCAATCATGGCTCTTAATTTGTGCAAGCTAAAATTTGCCTTTATTGAATATATGCTATTTTCTTGTCCACTTTGAGACCGGATTATCTGAAAATGATCCAGACTCCAAAGTCATTCTAGCTTGAATTGGCAGCCGAGTCTTGCACTCATTGCTTGACTGTCAGCCAGGTTAGAAATTAGCACGTGGTTTGCTTGGCAGGACAGAAATGAGAAGAGTGAAAATGAACAGGATAGAAGTGAAAATGGGCAGGTTAGAATTGAGAAAAGTGAAAATGAGCCAGACGGATGTGACAGTTGTGAAATCAAGCATGACAGAAGTGACAGTAGTGAAAACGAACAGGGCAGAAGTGTCAGTAGTGAAAATTAGCAGGACAAGTGACAATAGTGAAAATGAGGAGGATAGAAGTGACAATAGTAAAAATGAGGAGGATAGAAGTGAAAATGAGGAGTATACAAGTGACAATAGTGAAAATTAGCAGGACATAAATAAGAAAAGTGAAAATGAGCAGGACGGAAATGAGAAAAGTGAACATGAGCAGGACAAAAGAAAGATGAGTGAAAATGAGCAGGACAGAAGTAAGATGAGTCAAAATGAGTAGGACAGAAGTAAGAAGTCTGAAAAAACAAGACATAGCTGAGTAGAGGGAATATGTGAGCAGAAGAGAATTGAGCAGAGTGGAACTAGCCAAGTGGAACTGAGCAGGATATGACAGAACAATAAAAATTAACAGAATGGAAGTCATTACTGTTGGAGTTCTACAGCTGCAACAAATCTCTTGAAAACCAATAGATATCACAGGGTTTCTTAATAGAAACAGCACTCTCAGCCAGTGAATGCGGATCTAAGTTCCTAGTTTCTCTCTCAGTGATTTTCTTTGATTCACAAGAGAGTTCAGCATGGTAGTTTTGTTCACATAAGAATTTACTGTCTGTCTTCATCTCTATGGATCCTTCAGGATTGCTTTCTAAAAGAGGATCAGATAGTAGCTGATCGTTTTCAAGGGTTGAGAAGCCATTGTAAAAAGATGTACATCTTTGATACTCAGGTTGTTGGGTATTTATACAGGAAAGGTGTCCAACTTCACCAGGATTTACTAACTGTTTAGCCCCACCAGACAACCATTTACCTTCAGCAGAATTTGATAACCATTTATCCCTAGCAGAATTCGGTAACCATTTACCTTCAGCAGAATTAGGTAACCATTTAGCTTCAGCAGAAGCTGAAAAATGTTTACCCACAGCAGAATTTGGTAACCATTTACATTTTGCAGCATTAAATAACCAAGTACTTTCATTAAGATTTGATAACCGTGTACCTTCAGGAAAATCTGGCAAATGTTTACTTTCAGCAGAATCTGTTAACTGTTTTCCTTCAACATGAAAAGATAACTGTTTACATTTAACAGGAT